TAGCCTCTCGATTCGTTCCGGTTCATGATATTAGCCTCTCGATTCGATTCCTTCGATTCGATTCCCAAAATATTATTTTCATTATTTTGCAATAATAAATTATTAGAAATTGCCAATGAATACTAAATGGTGAATAGACTAGAAAGTCTAGAGAGTATATATCATAGAGATGTATACTATTTATACATCTCTATGATATATATACACTGCACAGTCGCTGAGTAAAATTGGTGAGTAACACCAGAGTAACACTCCACAGTATATAGCGTAGTGCCACCATCTACTGAAGGGAAAAAAGTGGTATCGAAGTGGAATCGAAAATACGGGGAAAAATATCGAGGATCGAATCGAGGAGGTAGAGAATCACGATCCGATTCGATTTCGGTGAATCGTTACAGCCCTAACATATATATATATATATATATATGATGCTAATAATAGCATGTTGAATATTATGTGAAGATATCAATAAATTATTAATGTAGATATTGAGTATCAACATCAAACTGCATGTTTATGGCATATACTAGCATTAAAGTGTGGGTTTAAGTGGGTAGGGCATAGCTATAGGCCAATTGTGCTGGCACATGTATAGAATTATGGCTCTGGAAATCTCCTCAGCACTACTATGGTAGTATAGACGGACTGGCAACAGTGAACAAAATGTAGTATTTCCAAATATCTAATACTGATATCTTGTGAATAATTATAAAATAACTCACCATAGGATGGTTAACAGCAGTCTTCAAGAGGGAAAGTGGTAACTAGAAAAACAATACAATGCCAATTTAACCAATTAGACATTTGACACATTAGTAGTAGTCATACTACTAAATGATACTCATTTCTGTGTACTGAGTTAGCTGTGGAATTTTTTATCACATTACACGTGACCTATTATGTTATTCAGCATAAATAAATTATAATAGATTTTAGATTACCATACTATATTGATGGAAATGCACCAGACAATCAAGCATGTCTATTTTTTGACTAGGTACTAGTTTTAGGGCATTTCCACGGGCTGAAATATCAGGCATGCTGCAGTTTTTGTATATACATGCATAACTGGGATTTAACTCAGCAATTTTTATGTAAATACGCATGCCACCTGGAGCACTGATCCTGATGTTTTAATCACAATTAGCAGATGTAGCACCATATCATGCTGAGACGGTCACCATGTTGAGATGGACGACATAGATATACAGTTTATCGTCTTACCATGATAAATCATAAAGCACTAATAGTAATATACGGTAACGGTATTGTATACTCATAATACTATTTAGCAAACAGGGAAACAATAGTCACGCCGGTGTACTGCGTATAGGCCACGACACACTGCAGCGACAACGACCGACCGTAACAACAAACGACTTTTCAGAAAATTAGACACTATTGTTTCCTATGAGCCATTGCACACTGACGCGACGACGACCGGCGACAACCTCGACGACAAAAATAAATAGAAACGTTTCTATTTTCCAGCGACTTTCGCCAGTAACACTTTACAAATGGCCAATCGCAGCCATTTCCATCGGCACGTGACATCGCCATTACGTCATAAAATTATAAACCAATGCTAGCCAGGAAGTAGACTGGTCCCCAGCGCTAAAATCGCACCGCCTGTCAGAAACAGTGGGGCCGCGAACCCATCTAACCAAAACATGGAAGGCTACGGCCAGCCATCACACGTGATTATTGTGTACGTTCGTATAATATGCTGTGTATATATATTACTTTATTATATTATCGTTATACATAAAGCATTTTTCAGAAATTTATTTAAAAGCAGCAGCAGGAGTTTTTTTGCCGTTTGCTCATGTGTGCCACTGGTACTGGCACTGTGGAGTGTGGCGAGTGCTGGGTAAACTTTGTCGTTACGGTCGGTCATTGTCGCTGCAGTGTGGCTGCGCCAGTTGCCGCGACTTTGTCGTTTGTCGTTACGGTCGGTCGCTGTCGCTGCAGTGTGTCTTGGCCTTATTCTTGACCACATCTTTGTCCGGCGCCTGTAAAGATACGGTCCCGGCCGGTATCGACTACCACTGGCAGCAAGAACAAGCCCGCACGCACGTACAGCACACACGCGCCCATTTACTATAATAACGACTATAATAAAGCTGTACGTGCGGGCTTGTTCTTGCTGCCAGTGTCGATTACCGGCGCCAGTTGCCACGGCACTGGCACTACAGAGAACAGGTAAGTAAGAAAGTAACTCTAGTAACTATAGCCCGCGTACAGTTGCCGCTGGCCAGCGGCAACTGTAC